TGCGCATATATTAATTAGTTTAGTTATTATAGTGTCAAAGGCAACAAATTCAGCAGTATTGGTTGCATCAAACATGGTCATTTGAACACGGTATCTAGCATATATTATCCAGTGTAATGTAATAATCTCCTAGCATAGTATAGTTGTGGATTTGTAAATTAATTGTTACAAAGTTTGTTGAAGGTAGATAACCTGATAACTCAAACTGCATTGTCCTCTGCAGAGAGCACATGAAAATGATGAGAACCCACGCTTCAATTTGCGGTAGAACTTGGAGCATAGCACTATCCAATTTTGTTTCTATTTCACTCACAACACCAGTGCAAATGAACTCCGTAGAGTGTAGTTATTTAGATATTGTTAAAAACCACTTACTTGTCATGCTGAACTTAGGCATCTCAGATTTGTTAGGGTTCTGAGTTTACTTGGGGTTGAGATTTCAGCATGTAATCATTAAGATCTGCTAAAATCATGAGATTGTAATTAAAAAGCTTTCCAGATAACATCTCCCTAACATCGTCATTAACAAAACGAAATATTATTTACAAAAATGAAAACAATACCTTCGCATTAAGCATCAGCATATCAACTGACATCTCCTAGAGGCGGAGGAGTTTTTTCTGGACCATCTCCTTACCGTGTCATGCCTTCAAGTCGGAAAATATAAAAGTGAGATGTAGCCAATTTCAGAAATCCTGCGACAGAGTTTCAGAGTAAATCAGGCGGCCGCAAGTAGAGGATTTCGTGAGGTCAGACCTAAGGTATATATATATATACACTTCATGGAGCTTATGAACGACGAATTAATACTGCAATGAAGAGGAGATGCTGGGTATTGTTGATTGAAAGATATTAAAAGAAAGCGTTACTTCGCCGAAGAAGTCAAACGGTGGCGTTAGGTTTTACAGCTGCAAAGAAAAGAAGGTTAAATTGGAGAAATTACAAAAAATGGTAAGGAGTGGGCCATAATATATCAGGCTACAATATGCTATGACTAAGCCAAGCCTCTATAATAACATTCATTCAGCGAGGCCCAAAAGTAACATCGGAAGGGAGATGAAGAACATTAGGACACGTGGCTTTTTTTGCCCCATTCTCTCTTGCTGATGTGGAGGCTTAAGAAGGGAGAATACTCTACTTTATTGTATAAGATGGTTGCTGCATATGCGGCTCAGTCAGCTGCAAGTGTTGTCCAGACAGGAACCAAAGAGTTTACTTCCAAAGTACTTTTAGGTTTTAACACTTTGATTCTGCTTTGATGAAAGTGGAGACCTTTGAAAGGCTATTATCTAGTCTCTATGTTGATGCTTAAGTTTAATCTGTCTGGTTGCTTTGATTTCCTGTCTTGTCTAGTGAGATCCTCTAACTTTTAAGCTTCTTTGTATGTTTCTGATTAGGAAAGCTCGAATTGATCCTCTAACTTTGAGATCTTGATTAGGCTTATGTGATAGTGTTTGTGCTAGAGATCAGCTTTGAATCTCTTCGAATCATAAGAACTAATCAGAGCCAGGTTTATAAGGCTTGAATCAATTGGATTGGAAGCTAAATAATCAATATATATATAATTACGAATCTTATGTTATTCATTTTGTACTTAGGCTGAGAAGAAGAAGTACATTGGGATGGTTGAAGACTGTTGTTGTGATTACGAGACGGTGAATAAGCTCAACACGGAGGTGTTGCATCCACTGCTTCAAGACCTTGTTAAGACACCTTTTTACCGATATTTCAAGGTTTTTCTTTCTATGTATCTTCCTTGGTAGAGAGTTTGGATGTATTTTGTTATGATTAAATCTGAATCCATGTTTGTAGGTTAAACTATGGTGTGATTGCCCATTTTGGCCTGATGATGGTATGTGCCGGTTAAGAGACTGTAGTGTTTGTGAATGCCCTGAGAGCGAGTTCCCTGAGCCATTTAAGAACCCATTAAGCAAAGACAATCCTGTTTGCCAAGAAGGGAAACCATAAGCTGCTGTTGACGGTACTGTAGACACAAGAGCTTTCACTGGTTGGACTGTCACAGACAATCCCTGGACTAGTGATGATGAAACTGACAATGGTATGCCTAGCTAACTTTTCCAAATTATCTTTGTGACTGTGGGTCTTGTGTAACTTTCTGGTACTTACAAACACTCTCTCTATATTACTCAGTCTGGCTCATGAGACTATGTGTAACAAGTACTGCTTTTAGTATTGAATCATATTGTGTTAGAGTTAGTCTTGATGATATAGTTATGATTACAGAGTAATATGAGACAGTTTTTACTGCAGGAAATCTGCTTCCACCACAGGTCCAAGGGCTTGTTGTTGGAGGTGGAGAAAGAGAAAATAGTTCGGTGTCTAAACACTTTCTCTTTGTCTCCGGACTTGGGGTCAGACTCTATCTCTCCCTCTCAGCTTCTGCAAAGCTTTCTTCTCTTCTCCTTTCTCCCGCCGCTTCACCATGAAGAAAGTTGATCATTCCCAGAAACTCCAGCCATTAGATACATCATCGTGGTTCTTCTGGTTGCTTAAAGTAAAGAAAGGCAATACCAAGAAAATTGATTCTTCAGTTGTTTACACAGCGAGATGCTCGTTGAACAAGTCACCTGCTTGGACTGATACAATGAAGTTCCACACTGGCTACTATGAATCTGAGATTATGTAATAACAGAGCTATCTGAAATGGGGAAAGTTTGTTAACAGAGCTATCTGAAATGGGTTATGAAGATTATTAAAGTTTGTTAACATGATCTTAGGACTTCTAGTGATATGTCAAAGAGCATGCTTTTTGATATTCTAGAATAGTGTGTGAATAGAATGGTTTGGAACCGTATATGAGTCAAAGAACACTAGAAGTGCATTGAGGAAACACCATCGAAGCTATGTGGACTATCAAAATAAACCTTGGGTACAGAGATGTCACGACATGGATTGATTTATAAACTCTTATAAATTGGGTTATGAAGATTATTAAATTCTTATAATCTTTTGAATAAACCCTTATAAATAGATGTATAAACCTTGTAAATTAATTTATAAACACTTATAAATAAATGTATAAACTCTTATAAATAATAAGTTCTTTTAAATAATTTTATAAACCTTTTTAAATAGTTTTATAAATCTTTATAAATAGTTATTTAAATATTATATGTGTTTTATAAACATTATAGATACATAAGGTTTTATAAGCTCTTATAAGTGATTTATAAAGCCATATAATGTTTTCGTAAACTCTTATAAATAAAAGGGACTTATGAGTAATGTTTTAATATGATTTTTATTCCATACAAATGCTCTTATTAACCTTATAAATGATTTAGTTAACCCTTGATGATTTATAAAATCTTATAAATGGTTTATAAAATTCTAAACTAGTATATAAGCCTTTATAATCAATTTACTAGATCTTATTAATGATTTATAAACTTTTATACAGGATTTGTAAACCTTTGTAAATCATTTATACACATCTATAAAAGATTTATAAACATTTATAAATGAGTTATAAACATTTATAAATGATTTATAAACATTTATAAATGATTTATAAATATTTATAAATATTTATAAATTACACATATATTCATGATGTATTTGATTTTTAAATAGTTTTGTAAATCCCTATAACTTGTTTATAAGCACTTATAAAAATATTATATAAACTTTTATTAATATATATATAAGGTCTTATATATAAACCATTATAAATGATTAAGAAACCATTATAAATAATTTATAAACCATTATAAATAATTCATAAACTAATTACAAATTATATTATAAATATTTATAACACTTTAAGATGATTTTATAAAACTTTAGATCATTTAATGTTTATTAATTCTTATAAATTCACTTTTATTTCTTATTAAATCCTTATAAACTCTTATAGATAGATTTATAAACTCTTATAAATAGATTTATATTTCATATATATTTGACCAAATTTTATAAATATGTCCTAAACCCATCGACACAAACGAAAAATCTCTTATAAACCCTTATAAGATGATATAAATCATTACAAAATGATTTATGAATTCTATAATTACACATACAATAATGGTGTTTTTGGTTAGAAAATGATTTTGTAAATAATGGTTTATAACTTGATTTATAATGGTTTATAAATGGATCTGTAAGTGTATATAAGCTGATTTATAAATGTTATAAATATTTATAAACTAAGTTAAGGGTTTAATTATAAGTAGAATTACTAGTGTCTATAAACTGAAAATTTGATGTGTTATAAAATGATTTATAAAACCGTATAATTTGATTTATTAGGGTTTATAAAGTGATTTATTAAGGTTTGAAAACTGATTTTAAGGGGTTCTAAGTTGGATTATTAGTGTTTATCAGTTGGCTTTTGTTTTATGTTTTATAGTTTGATTTATAAAATTTTATAAACTCTTATTAGTTATTATATATCTTTATAAAAATTATTTTTCAAACTCTTACAAATTGTTTTTATAAGTCTTTATTAGTTTTTATAGGCTCTTATAAATGATTTAAGAGACTTTCTAAGTGATTCATAAACCAATAAACCTTATAAATTGTATGCATACCCCTTATAAATTTTTTATAAACTTTCATGACGTTTTTATAAACAGTTATAAATGGTTTATATACTTTAATAATTGTTTTTATAAATCTTTATAAATGGATTAGATAATTTTACTAATAATTTATAAACATTTATAAATATATTATGAGCTTTACAAATTGTTTTATAAATTTTTATAAATGATTTATGAACTCCTATTTGCTCTTCATCTTTCCTTTGCTTTTCATTTTTATCTTCTTTTATGTTTTATTGCCTTCTGTCATATGTTGCAAAAAGTAAATTCACAAATCCTTGTTCCCATTAGCTTTTCTTCATTTTATATCCTTATTGAACTGTCAAAATTCATGTCATCAAGATCATGAGGTGTTGGGTTCACAAAATGTTTGTATTCCTCAGATTATCTAAACATTGTATTAACCACAAGATGTAACAAAGAATAAACAACGTTTTATAAGTCTCTACAAATCTCTGGAGTAAACTGATCAAAATCCAAAGCCACAGGCTTCAAGACAAAAACGTCACCGTTCAGATCCCAAGAGCATCTCCTCGGCCTTGTACAGCTGCTCATCAACGGCCCCTGCTCAGGAGTTCCGAGCAGAGGATGGCGTCCAGGGATGGGCCTAAAATGGCATCAGCTATCCCTATCTAATTAACACAAAAATAATGTGTTAATAAACACGAAACGCAAATTTGATTTCTTCCAGTTAGCAAATACAATCCATCATCTCAGACTATTAAGAGCTATCGATGAAAACATGTCCCCCAAGACGGCTACAAATCTTCCAGAAATGAAATCATGATTAAACGTTTAATAAGGTAGCTCTCTTGCAGAAAGATCTACTGTACTATACATTTTCATACCAACTCCCAGCCACCTTATGGAAGCTTAGTAGTCTAGTAAGGGAACATAAGTCGAACTCTAAGGATGATATGCATATAAAGTAAAAATCTCACCGCAGGAGCTGCCTCTAGGGCTCCATCTGCAGTTGAGAAAGTCACGTGTTTTATACCATTCTCTTTCATAAATTTGGGTCCTAGCTGCAAACAAAAATTAGATGATTCCAGCACAATCAATTTGCATTCTGAATAAAAATTAACAGACATTAATGCACGAAATAACCACTTGTAACTCAAGCATACATAATTAAATCCTGTAGCAACTCGTAAAGGTCTTTCCTCAGTCCACTGAGGCATTTGTGCTAGCTCCTTGAGAGAATTAATATTCTCAAATATCCCATAATTTGGTATCTGAAATCATAAGAAAAGAGCCCTCAAGAAGTCAATCCATAGGGGTGATAAGGCCACAGCTACTTTAGTCTAGAACATACCGCAAGGGAGAGATGACAGTCTCCGAAGTTGAGAGCTTCATGAACAATAATAAGATCATCATTTCCCTGGAAACAAAACTCAAAACAACTCAGTTATGATGCAAAAGTGGCCTTGAGACTATAATCTAACTCAAACTAGCACAAGCTTCACAATGCCAAAGGTAAATCACAGAAGAGCTCAGACTTGTGATCTCAACCATGGAATATGAGTATAAGTTGTATAACAATGAGCAGCAGTAAGTAAGGTATTGTAGAATCTTAACATGTATATGCTTAATCAAGATATATACCTGACCAAACTCACTAACAAGGTCAAGCCCAACGATGCCTAAATCAAGATCTCCAGATAGTAACTTTCTGACAATGTCTTTAGGCCGTTGAAACCAAACTTCAGTGTTCGGTAGCTGTTGGACAAGAAACAAAAAAAGATTACTGACACAAAACAATAGAAAACAAAAAAGCCATTGTTGTTGCCTCCCTTTCACAAATACGTACCTGAGGAATCTGAGCAACGTATTGCCGCGGATTGACTTGTTTTGATAGACAATTGACAATCCTTCAAGAGAAAGTAAAACAAAATGAGATTGTAAAATCAATGCCTCAACTCTACTTTTTGCTAAAGAAAGAAGCTTTTGCACACTCAAAAAAAAACAGCACAAGAAACTCTCATAACAACACTCACTTTAGGAAGATCTAGCGTATCGGTGGCCATGCGTCCCTTGCTAGGAAGACCAAGACGAATCTGGTTTCTCACAGATACAGCTTCGGTGAAACCGTTTTGGACGGAGCTCTGAGAGTGGGAGACGCATGAAGTCACCATCCAGAGTAGGCATCTCTTGCGAATTCCGGTAACGGTGACAGTAGTAGTCGTATGAATCGGAGAGAAGATGGAGGAAGAAGGAGGAGGAGAGCGTTGTATAGCGGTGTTATTTAAGAGTGAGTCGAGGCTTGACGAAGAATGGAGGAAATCAGAGATAGATTAAAAAGGTTACTTTGGTCATTTGGCGTACCTTGCGGAGGAAGATGTTGGAATGAAAAACTTTATAGAGATGGAGAAAGTGTTTTATGTGTTTGAAGAGAAAGAACTTTTATGAAGAAGAAAGTCTTTTATAATTTAGAAGAGGAATTCTTATTACTTAGATGATTTCTTGATGATACAAAATATCTCAAATATTTTAATCCTAAATATAGAGAATTCTTACTAAATATCTAGATTATTTTATCTAAATATCTAGATTGTTCTTTAACAATATCTAGATTTTTTTATGTTAAGGAGGTGGAGATTATTCTAGATATTGGGCTAAGTTTGGGCTAAACATGATTATTAGCCCAATAATACTTGATCCAAATCAAGTTTACTTTTCAACACCCCCTCTTAAACTTGATTTGGCTACTCCGAGTAAGCTCCTCATCTTGATAAAATCTTCTCGCTTGAGTGGCTTGGTGAAAATATCAGCTACTTGATCATTTGTCTTCACATATTCCAATTGAACATCCATCTTAGTAACACATTCTCTAATGTAATGATAACGAGTATCAATGTGCTTACTCCGATCATGGAAGACTGGATTCTTTGCCAATGCTATTGCCGACTTGTTATCCACAAAGATCTTCGTTGGCTCCTCTTGTGGTAGGCTCAACTCCTTTAGCAAGTTGCGTAACCAAATAGCATGGCAAACACATGAAGTAGCTGCTACATACTCCGCTTCACAAGTTGAAAGAGTAACAATAGGTTGCTTCTTCG